AACGACTTACCTGATTATATAATAAAATAAATTAAATTACATATACTGTATTTTTACTTATAAATTATTTTTAAATCTGATTTATTCAAAAATGGTTATTTGTAAAATGGAACTTTCTAATACGAGGCTACTCCATATGTTAATCGACTTATTCGAAAGAGATTAAGTTTTATAACTAACAAAGTGATATACTTGAGGCTATCTTCAGTGGATCTCTGCTAATATTTCGGGCGAAACCTAAATATTTCGCCAAGTCTGAATCTGAAATTCGGGTGATATCAGTTTCACCCACATACAAATTTCAGAAATGTCTGACAAAATATGTAATTGCCCATAATTTAAAAATTGTCCAAAACTATGATTGGTCATTTTCAAACGTGATCTAAGTGTGCATTCAGACGGTTTCGTTGCCCAGTTTCAACCAATAATTGGATATAGCAGGTTGTGTGGTAATTATATGACATTCCAATTATTGATAACTTGATAATGTTTTACTTAATCTAGTAAACGAAATTAAAGAGAAATTTAAATTTAAAAGAACTCAGCACTCAGCGCATAAGACTAGTTTAATAAAAATATGAAAGTACATAAGCAAAAGTTAGTTTTCGACAATTTTTCTATAGCTCTCTGCTTCACTTCGCTTAGCTCTTGGTAGATCTAGTTTATTTCATACTATATATCGTATTTTTTTTTTATTATGTGCATCCGGCATCACATCACTCGAGTCCTTTAAACCTAATCTACATTTTTTTTATGCAATTTTTTTTTCTTTTACACTATATCTTCATTTTTTTACAAAATTCTGTACACATAGATATGTTTATTGAGAAATGACCAGTACATATAAGAAACTACCGTATTTCGCGAAATAACGTGCAGGGTGTTATTTCGAATTTTGGCCTGTATTAAACTTGCAGGTTCTATACTAGATGTTATACCTATAACCCAACTAAGGAGTTACTCATTTAAACCTTTTAATCCTACCTATTTTTAAGCATATTATACTAACTTGGAAACTACCAATGGCCCATTCTACTAGATTGTGTACTACTGCCTTAGAACTTTCATGACTTATCTTGAGTTTGCACTAACTAATTACCAGCTTGCATTCCTTCGTTAAACAGATATATAGCTATCCTCAAGATAAACCTACCAGAGCTTTTTCTATTCTATTTGGGCCAACCTGGTTTTGCACAGTTGCTAAAGCTCCCACTTGCAATTAGGATTATTCCTATTTAATCACTTTTGCCCTTATAAGGTTTACTTCTAATCCTGATACCTGTATTTAGACTTTTCTTTTTTCTGTTATTTTCTTATTAGTTTATCTCTTACTTCTAACTAGTGACCTGGAAGATTCAACCTTGGCTTGGCTTTAGGTGCTGATGCCTTTGTCTTTGTCTTATCTTGGTTAGAGTAGAAGGTATGGTAAAATTTTGGAGCATGCCTCTCTTATCATGCCCCAGGGCATACCCTTTAATCAGGGTTGGCACATTTATCCATTGGGACAAATGGAGAACAACTCCATTGACATTGTTCCATTGCTCCATTGAGAATAATTTCTGAATGGAGCCAATAGAAGCCAACAAACTCCATTGATATTGATCCATTTGACCTGTTTATCATCAGGATGAGCTATAGATTAGAACCCTATTCTTCATCGACTTTATTAGATTCTTCTATTGGAGCCATTATCACCACTGTGTTCTTCACTAGCTCTTTTAGGTTTTCCATTAGTATCATTTG